AGCCTCATTCCTTTTGCACCAGCACTTGTCTCATGAGTTTGGCTTTCGTTTTGGCTAACCAAACTTGCATTTTCAGTTACAATACTTCAAACATTTAAAATGATTTAAGTTTTTAAAAAAGTACATACTAGTGTTATTTATAATAGCAAGAAACTAGAAATAATCTAAGTATTCAGCAATATGGAAATAGCTAAGAAATATGTTACAACCCTTCAAAAAGATAGTTTCAAAGGGTTTGAGACTTAGAACATCATTGCAACATGGCTTGTGGGAAAAGCAGGAATCAAAAATACTTTTATAATAGGATTGTTATATCAAATCAGGCAAAAAATCAAAATTAAAACAAAACCATGATGTACTGAAAAAAGTCACTAAAACTTTAACAGTAAAAATTAGTTAATAAATATCAGATATATACATGAATACTTGTTTTTAAATGCAGTCATCCTGCCAGGGTCTTTGCCTAATCATCTTGTCTAAAATAGTAGGTCTCCCCATCACTCTTTACCCTAATCTGCTTTATTTTTCTTCTTATCACTTCCTGAAATGATGATATATATGTACATGTTGCTTATTTCCTGTTGCCTCCACTAACACATAATCTTTTCAAGGGCAAGAACTTTGTCTATCCTTTGCACAGCCTGTAAGAGTGTCTGGCATATAATAGATGCTGAGTAAAAACATGAATGAATTAATTGAGAAGTTATCCTATAGCACTTCGAATATGAATGAAATTATTTTTTAAAACGTACACCATTTGGGGAATAAAACATACCACATCCTGTGAAAATGAAATAATCTCTATTATGTTAAGAACTCCCCAAAGCAAGTAATATAACCTCATATAAACCAGATGATTCTTCTGATGGTCTAATTCTAGCTGGATGGACATAGGACTCAAAGGGAAATTAAAGACTATCTCCTGTCCAATCTCTAAATTCATAAATCATAAAGTACACAGCAACTCTGAGATGCAGGCAATGGGATCTGCTCTGCTTCCACATCTTTCTGGAACCAGAGGATCAGTTCTGGTGAGTGATCTCTGGAGACTCAGTTCAAGATTGAGAGTCCCCCCTCCCAATACATACACACACACACCTACCAGAGTTGGGAGGTCCATACACATGCTTCATGAGATCCATGGTCTGTAGTTTCAGGAAGTGGATGGAACAGCAAGTTTCTCTACTTTCTTGAGGTCACAGACAGACTGAATATCCTAGGATACCCTGGAGCTTAACACAGAGCTCAGACATTCAGCAAGAAGCAGGCTGGCCAAAAAAGACCCTCAGGAGAACACTTTGAAGGTAGAAAGCCTCTAATTCCTGAATGTTCTATGATATATATTTTATTTTATTGGCTCTTCTCAGTTTATTGCATGGAGTTACACTAGTCCAAGTTAAAAGCAGACCCCAATGGTTACATAACACAAGCTATGAGGTTTTTAAACTTGAGACAAGGAATAGAAGGGAAATTCTACTCATTGCAAGGAAATCCTCACTTTAGCTTCAGTGAACCAAAAGCACTTAAAACCCATGAACCTTCAACTGGTCGTCCTTAGTCAGTCCAGTCTCTACAAGGAACTGGCATATGTTCTTGTGCTGGTCATCCTGCAGCTGAATTACATCTCCATATAATCTGGATGCTCAATTACAGTACCACTGCAGGCAAATTTCTTCTTAAATGCCTTTAGTAATTTATTTTTATCATAATCATGTTTGATGATCACACATCGAAATAATATTTTGAATATATTCGCTTAAACAAAATTAATCATTAAAAATCCTTCGGACAGTAGTAAGGGTCTTCCTGCTGTTTCTCTGTTGAACACTTATATGGATATACTCCTCAGTGCCAGCAGGAAGCAGATCATCACCCTCACTTGCATCAGCAAAGGGGCTGAAAGAGTGGAGATTCTGGATAGTGAACATATGATAGGATTCCTTTTCCTCCATGGAAAGGGCAGGCCTGTGGAAGGCTACTGCCAGAGAATGCAGGCACAGGGGGGTGGAGCATTGAAAAGGGAGGGGGTTCAAGGCGCTAAGTCATTAGCAGATGGCTCAGTCACTAGGGCCAATATGTATTTTAATTTATCAGTATTTTCCTTTAAAGTTTCTGCTTTTGATATTATGCTTTAAAAAGACTTTCCATTTCATGCATATTCATGAAAATTTTATTTCAGTATTTTATAGAATCATTAAAAAAATTTTAACATTTAAAAAATGAGATTTGTCCCTGGCCGGTTTGGCTCAGCGGTTAGAGTGTCGGCCTGCGGTCCAGAGAGACCTGGGTTCGGTTCCCGCTAGGGGCACGTACCTTGGTTGCAGTTTGTCCACGGCCCCGGATGGGGTTGTGTGGGTGGCAACCAGTCGATGTGTCTCTCTCCTGTCGATGTTTCTCTCTCTCTCTTCCCCCCTTTATCCCTCCTGCTCTATCTGAGGATAAATGCAAAAATGTCCTTGAGTGAGGGTAAGAAAAAAAGACTTGTTTTTGAAATATGATATAAAATAAGAATTTAACCTTTCCCCCAAATAATTTACTAATTGAGATGAACTTATATGATATTCCAAAGTAGTGAAATTTAGAAAAAAGGCCTAGAATAGCACTGACAGAAATATGATGCTAGCGACATGTATCATTAAAAATTTATTGTAGTCACATTTATAAAGTAAAAATGAGTGGAAAGAATTTTAATGATTAATTTTGTTTAAGCTAATATATTCAAAATATTATCATTTCAATGTGTGGTCAACATCAAAATCATTAATAAAAGATTTCACATTCTTTTTTCTTTTCTACTGAATTTTCAAAACATGGTATATATTTTGTACTTATAGCACTTCTCCATTTAGCCTAGCAACATTTCAACTGCTCAATAGCCACACGTAGATAGTGGCTTCTGTACTGAATAATGTAGGTGTAGAGCAGTGTTTCTCAGCCTCACACTATTGACATTTTAGACCTGGTAATTCCTTGCTGTGGGGACCCGTCCTGTGCCTTGCAGGATCATCAGCTGCATCTCCAACCTCCATCCACTAGATGTCAGTAGCATCCTTTCCCCAGTTGCTACACCCCAAATTGTCTCCAGACTTTGCCAAATGTCCCTGGGGGTGGGTAAAAGTAGGACTAATTGTCCCCAGTTGAGAATCAAAGGTATAGAAAAACAGAAAAAAATACATGTTTGGAACAAATCTTAGGATCACCTGAGAGAAAATTTTCTGTTTAGAAGCTAATATTACTATAGTCACTGAACCATAATAGGAGTACCTACAATAATTAAAGCCTATCCAACTTTCATGTTTTAAATTCACAAAAAGGAGAAGAATGGGGGTGGCAGAAGGGGAGGAGGTTGGGAAGAAGAAAACGGAGAGAGAGAAGAAAAAAAAAAGGAGAAGGCGGCTGTTTTTGAGTATACCTTTTTGCTTATTTGGGGCCCCTACTCACAGAAATAATATTGACCCACAAATGAGCCCATCTTGGGACTGGCATTGCCCTGGAATTATTTAAAAGAACCCTGGGACTCTTGATTTTGAAAATAAGCTGATGGATGCTTGGGTTGAAACATGCATCAAACCGTGCCTATGGGTTCAGATAGTGAGAGCACTCAGTGTTGCTCAATTCTAGAACTGTCTACTTCACATAACAGCATCTAATATCAAAAGTGATGAACAACAGACCCCAACCTCCAGGTGAGCTTATCTCCTCTAACAACTCTCTTACCAACCAGGACGTCTGTAACTGGGAGCCTCAATTAATTGTGGTGTTTTCAAAGTATTTCTCTTTTTGCCCAGCTGGTATGGCTCAGGGGTTGTTGACCCATGCACCAGAATGTCACCAGTTCGATTCCCGGTCACGGTATAAGACCAAGTTGTGGGCCAAATCCCCAGTGGGGGACATGCAGGAGGCAGCCAATCGATGTTCTTTCTCATCAATGTTTCTCTCTCTCTCCCTTTCTCTCTAAAATCAATAAAGGAAAAAAATAAGTATCACTCTCTCTCTTTTTTTTTTTAATCCTCACTCGAGGATATTTTTCTATTTATCTTCAGATAGAGTGGGAGGGAGAGGAGGAGAGAAAGAAACATCAACGTGAGAGGGACACATCAACTGGTTGCCTCATGCACAACCCCGACCAGGGCCGGAGATGAACTGCGACCAAGTACATGTTCTTCACCCAAGTCAAACCTACGACTCATTGGTCTGCAGGCCAACACTCTACTGCTGAGCCAAACCAGCCATGGCTAAGTATTTCTTTTACATATATATATATATATAAAGAAGGCAAGGAAGGCAGCTATGCTAACCACTATACAAAAACTCATAGACACAGACAACAGTATGGTGGTTACCAGAGGGAAGAGGGTGGTTGGTCGCAAAGGATAAAGGGGGTCAAATATATGGTGATGGAAGAAGACTTGACTTTGAGCAGCAGGCACACAATGCATTATACAGATTATTATAGAATTATACACTTGAAACCTATATAATTTTATTAAGCAATGTCACCCCAATAAATTCAATTAAAAATAAAAAGGTATGGAAATCAAAATTATAGCAGAGATTTATTCATAGAAGGAAAGAAAGCAGGAAAGAGGGAAGAACTAAATCAGGAGGAACACATCTTAGAATATTCATGTTCATCACAATCTTATTCAACCTGATTTACATGTGTCTATATGATACTCAGAATGTTGACCCTTAGATAACTGAAGATCATGAGCCCTCAAAAATAGCTTATAATTTCCACTCTACCTCAAAGTTGTTTCTTTTCCCCTCACCCGAGGACATTTTTTTTTTTTTTGACGAGGACATTTTTTTTTTTTCGATATTTTGTTCAGATAGAGTGGGAGAGGGAGTGAGAGAGGGAAACATCAACGTGAAAGGGACACATCAGGTGGTTGCCACCCACACAACCCAACCAGGGCCGGGGACAAACTGCAACCGAGGTACGTGCCCTTAGTGGGAACCGAACCTGGGTCTCTCCAGACCACAGGCCAACGCTCTAACCTCTGATCCAAACTGGCCAGGCCTCAAAGTTGTTTTTAAAGTTTCTTAACAAGTGCTAAAACTGAAAGGTTTCTGATTGCCCCATGGTTAATGAGAATGTTAAACTAACCAGGAGTTTCCACTTCCTAAGGGTTTCCAGTTCATCAGGGACTTAATCTAATTGGCTTAGCTCTTTTGAAGATACTGAGTCTAGCTATTGGGCATATACACTAGGTACCCTGTGCACAGCAGACAACAACTTGATTATTTCCAAGACCTTCCATGTACATTTGGGACTACTGGTAGAGGAGGAATCTTTGCAGTGGCTCCGGCAGATGTAGCTTGTGGATGCTTTGATGACATGCTCGACCCAAGTACTTCCGGACACACAGGCGACAGAGCTGGGAAAGAGCAGGCGGGCCTAAGGAAGGAATTAAAACATTGTGAACCTTATGCTAGCAGGGTGGAGGTGGGGAGAAGGGGAGACCAGAGGACTGGAAGAGGCCGAAACTTTCTAAAAGACTAAGAGAAGCTGGATCTGTATAGGAATTAGAGAGTGAGGTAGCAAACACTCAATTCACACAGGATTCTGGTTCGCCCCTTGGACAGGGACATATTTCTTTAAGTTGAGCCTCCAGTGGTAATTACATTACCGATATTGAAGAATAAGGCTAACTAGAGGCAAGTTAGGAATGAGGCGTGGGGTCTAAAGGGAATGCACTTTATTCATGTACCACATGTGCCAATGGATGTGAGCCAAAGACAAAATGCAAATAGAAGCACTGAACATGCAAGACCCTGAGACAGAACTGCAGAGCAAGGGACGACAGCCAAGAGAGTGTCAGCAGGAAGCCCAGCCTAGGTGGTCACAGAGGCAGTGTCAGGAGATGTGCCAGGGGCCTGGCACGCAGGGTCTTCCTGGATTGCCCGGTTCTAGCTTCCCAGGAGGTGGTGCTGCCTGGGTCCTGACTCATACTTGGAGGGTCTCCCATTCTCGCAAAGGATACCAGCTTAATAGAAAATCAGGAGAAAGGACCTAACTCACTTAGACCCCATTGTACTATGAACCTCTGTCTCACAGACACCTGTAGAGTCATCATGCCTATGGCTTTGAGTCCTAAAGGAAAGTAAACTAACGAGAGTCCAAAATATGGTTGAGTAGGATGAATGAGCTTTGGGCTGGAATACTAGTTATAAAGGGGCATTTGTAATGTCCCATTATTTTATAACCTGACTCTATCAAGAAAGATGTCTTCAGCCTGGCCAGAGTGGCTCAGTTGGTTGGAGAATTGTCCCGTGCACAGAAAGGTTGCCGGTTTGATTCCCAGTCAGTATACATACCAATCGATGTTTCTCTCTCACATCAATGTTTCTCTCTCTCTCCCACCCCTCAATTCCTCTCTCTAAGCATGTCCTTGGATGAGGAGTAAAAAAAAAAAAAAAAGAAAGAAAGAAAGATATCTTCAAGTAGGTCTATGTAATTACTGGACAATGTTTTCCTTTTCAAGAAAATCCTACTATAGCAACATCTTGCCCAGGAGAAATGGTGGACAGCACGTGTTAATAGCCAGATAACACTTGCATTGATATTGCCAAGGAACATCCATATGATAGAAAGCTACCTGGAGGAACAATCGTCCTTAGTTAAAATCTTGGGATGCAAGAATGGAAAGTGTTTCCATCTTTCACCCAACTAAAGCTCCTCTGGAAAACAGTAATGGCAGACAAATTATCCAGTTTGCCTAAACAAGTTCAGACACCAGTGTGAATTCTGATGTAGCTAGTGTTTAGCTTTCTAGAGCAAGTGGCTATATTTAGGAAGACAGAGGAACTTGCTTATAAGAAATACTTGGACCTGGAAGCATTCTTGATGGAAGAAAAGAGGAAATATGACAACCGCTATAAACCATATTCTCATCTAATACTTGGAAAATACCTGGTATTTCCAAACTAGGAGCTGGTAAGAAAGATCCTAATTCTTCAAGTGGAGATTCAAATTACTGAACAATCATTAATGACATGGACTACTGGAAATAATCTAGACCAGCGGTACAGTCGGCCCTCATTTATCGTGGTTAATCAGTTCCAGACTCTACCGCAATAGATGAATTTCCGCGAAGTAGGATTCTTTATTTATACAGTCATCCTTCACCACTTCACACATCAACTTTCACAGCTTCACTTGATCGTGTGTTTTTTTTCAAATATATTGTAGCGAGGGACAACTGGACTCAACATGTGGCCTCAGACCAGCAGCATCAGCACCACCTGGGAGCCTAGTGGACATGCAGTGTCTAGATTCAGACCTGCTGAATCAGAATCTGCATTTTAATGAGATTCCCCTGGTGATCTTTATGCTCCTTAAAGCTTAAGAAGCACTGACCAAAGTATTCCTAAAACTACTGAACCAAGCATTGCACTTCGAAGGTATATAAGACATTGGGGTGGTTTCACAAAATGCAACTGGTGAGTGAAAGAAAACCCTCCTCCACTAGAAAATGAAGATTCAGGATTGGGCCATCATAATGTTAAGAACACATGTTTGGCGGTCAGACAGCTTGGTTAGAATCCTTGTTCTGCTGCTCAGTAGCCATGTGACCTTCTGCAAGCAATCTCTTTGTGTTTCTCTTTTCCCATTCACAGATGGAATAACACCAGCTACTATCAAGTTCTTGCTGCTGTAAAGCTTTAAGTATCAGGGAGACTAATCTATGTTTTGAATTTAGCTCAGCGCCTGATACATGTAAAAACAAATGATTACTATTGTTGCTGATATTCTCCTGATTAAATGCGATCAATATAGGTTCTGATATTGTTCTCTTTCTCTATGGACACAGCATGGTTCTTTTTTGAATTTGGAATAACAGCATTTTAGAGGCCTGCCTTTCCTCCTCTGGCATCTGGAGTTGCATTAGCTCATGGTGGAAATGGGAATGACGCAATGAGGAATGCAGACCCACCTACTCCCTAATCTGGAGAACAGGCAAACAACGCTAGTCTACTTTCTGAAATACACACCCCATGTATATATCAAGTCCAACTCAAGTATTTCTAATTCCCCCTGTACTGCATCCAGATATTTGCTCAATTGTGTGTCGATGCCAGGATAGATGTAGCAGTTCAACCTTTTCATGGTGAAAAGAAATTTCTCTGATTATTTTCTTGCTATGGAAAATGCAAAGCAATCTATCAGTTGTATGTAAATGCCCTTTGGTTATAAGTAAGTATACACAGCATATGAAATCCCATCTCAGTGATGCTAGGACTTGCCACCTCCTACATGTCACTTCCAATCAAAAAGAGAAGAGGGAAAAGGCAAGAAAGCCTACAGACGAGACAGAAAGGAAACAGCAGATGTGTTTAAGGAAGAGAAATGGATGCCCAGCCCTTCCTTACCTTCCCAGAGCAGGAGCGCCTGCTCCACACTGCTTTTCGGGGTCGCCAGATCAAGTGCACTTTTGCCCTGAGCGTTTCTGCACTTCAGGTTAGCCCCATAGTCTATCAGCAGGTGGATGACCTCCACGCTGGACTGCTTCGCTGCAGCATGGAGAGGGGTGTCCAGCCATTGGCCACGGTCAACACTGGCTCCTTAACAAAGCAGATGGCCACAATTCAACACTAAATGTTAAATGTAGAAACACGAGCCTAAAATATAGTAGCTGCATATAGACACTTTAAATGCCATAAGAATTTGATAAATATTTGAAAATGTGATGCAAGCTTAGAACCTCAGCAATACTTATTAAGATTGTTTCAAAATATTTTGATGAGAAAAATGAATTAAAATATTTTTAGTCCGGCTGGTGTAGCTCAGGGGTTGAGCGTCAACCCATGCACCAAGAGGTCGCCAGTTTGATTCCCACTCAGGGCACATGCCCAGGTTGTGGGACCGATCCTTAGTGGGGGGCATGCAGGAGGTAGCCAATCGATGTTCTCTCTCATCAATGTTTCTATCTCTCTCTCCTTCACACTTCCTCTCTCTCCAAAATCAATAAAGGAAAACAAAACTTTTTAAAATATATTTTTAGTCATTTAAAATACTTTACTTGCTTTGCCATATGAACTTCATGACATGCAAAATTAAATATTTGCAGCCCCTTTTACATAGAGTTATTTTGTTTTTTTTTGGCAGAGGATAAATCTAAGTTTATTTAGTATTTATATTATTCAGGGCTCACAAAAGAAGATTTCTGAACCACTATAGGAAGTAATCTATGATAGCAGATTTTAAAAATACACAAGAAAAATCTTGGAGATAAAAATTATTATTTAGCCCAGCTGGTATGGCTTAGTGGTTGAGTGTTGACTCATGCACCAAGAGGTCACTGATTCAATTCCCAGTCAGGGCACATGCCCAGGTTGTGGGCCTGATCCCCAGTGAGGGGCATGCAGGGGGCGGCCAATCGATGTTCTCTCTCATCGATGTTTCTCTCTCTCTCCCCGTCTCCCTTCCTCTCTCTCTCAAATCAATAAAGAAAAAAATATTTAAAAAATTATTTAGAATGTAAAAAATTACAAAATAACTTAGCCAGAATCTTCCTGGTAACCACACCTAGGTTTTCCATGGGGAACCATCCCCGTGATCCTCAGTTCATGTGTTACCAGTGAAGCCCAGTGACTACAGTGTAGATCAAAATCTAGGGCTAAGCCAATCAGTGTTGTATTGTATTCCCTTGGCCACCATGATTGGTTCAGACACAGGCACGCAACTCAAAAAGAGCCAAGGAAATGCAAATTTTCCCCAAGGACTTAAATGGGAAAGAGACTCTTGCTATCTCTTGAGACCACCAAGGAGATCCATACCAAGTAAGTGGGGCCAATATCAAAGGAAGCAGAACTGAAAAACATCCTCATTCTCTGGAGAAGTTCTGTTTTAAGCATTCAAACATCAAATACTGCCAGAATTTTGTCCATGGTTTCTGGGAGTTACCTAATTCTAGAAGTTTCTTCACACAATCTACCCTTTGGTGGGTGCAGGCCACATATAGGGGAGTTCCGAGTTGAGGCACTTCTTGGTCAATGTTCACGTTATTTGCCAGCAGAATCTCCATGCACTCTCTGTGACCTGGTGGAACACAAGATAACCTCACTCATGTAAGAAAAACATTGACTATTTACAGAATTATAGCATTGCTTGTCTGGAATGGGATTTAGAAATAAAGATGATTTTTTAAGCAGAATAAAAAATACAAACGTTAGAAATCTCCAAAATTAAACCATTAGAAAGAGAAATATGCCCATGCTTCCCCCACTGAATTCCTCTTTTCAGTCCCTGAGGTACCTCCAACTAAACTGTGGGCTCCAGGGAGCACAGCTGAAATCCTCTAGAATGAAGCCACCTGTTTACAAATAGAATCTACAAGACCCTGAGGTGTAAATGACTCATCCTATTACTACTCTGAAAAGCCAGGGCTCGAATCCAAGGCCCAGCCCTGATCCCTCTCCATTACAAATCTCTCATTCTCTTCTTCACCCATGCATGCAACGCTGGCTGTATGACAGCACCATGTAGTAAAACTCCTTATTTTGGTTAACCTGGAAGATACCTATGAGAATTAATTTGAACAGTTCAAGTATAGAATATATTTAAATGTACTTTCAAATTCAATGACTAACAAGAATTATGTACAAGTACTCTCTTAAGAGAGTTTTCCCAATGAACAGACAGACATTGTTAATTTTCAGCAAAGGAATGATTTGTTCAGGAGCAAATGCTTGTGAGGTATCATTGTGAGCTTGTAAAGTTTGTTCTCTTTGAGGATTTAAATGTTTCCTTTAAGAAAATCTTATCAGACCTGGCTGGTTTGGCTCAGCGGTTAGAGCATCGGCCTGCGGTCCAGAGAGACCCGGGTTCGGTTCCCACTAAGGGCACGTACCTCGGTTGCAGTTTATTCCCAGCCCTGGTTGGTCGTGCAGGTAGCAGCCACTTGATGTGTCCCTTTCACATTGATGTCTGTCTGTCTGTCTGTCTCTGTCTCTCTCTCTCCTCCTCTCCCTCCCTCCCTCCCTCCCTCCCACTCTATCTGAACAAAAAATGGAAAAATGTCCTCGGGTGAGGATAAAAAAAATCTTATCATTGCTGATTAACTTAACCAAGCTTTACTTCATAGATAAAAGCTTCACCTCAACCCTGCGTGATTTATCACAAATTCTGAGTTAAATATAAATATGCAGTAACATGCACAGATAAGGATTCTGTGGATTCAAACTATTTATTTGTTCACAGAAGTAAATATTATGCCTAGATGATAACATCAAAATGTCAAAGTATTGACCCAGACTGACCCAGCTTGTTCATAGAGATTTACAGCTGTAAGAATGCAGAAAAAATATCTAATCAGTATCTAAAACTGCTTGGTAAATACAGGGTATCTAATAAACATTATTGAATAATTCCTGGTTTTTTTTTTGCAGAAGAAACAGACTAGTTTGAGTTAAATTTAAGTATTCTCAGGAAGTTTTTAAAAAATGAATACAGTATATAAAAGTCAAATGCTTAGCACTACTGTAACAATATCTAAAATAATGAATTTGCTATTCATCCTTCCATTCTGTGGACATTGGTCTCTAACATGCTTTTATGATACAGGAAAAAATATGTAGAGACACATGAATTCATGTGTTTATGATAAGCATGTATATAATTTGTGGGCACATAGATACAAAACACTCCATCATCACTGCAGAATTATTTAAGTAATTCAAACCATTCCTAATATTAACCTATTTTTAAATATGTGGATGAACTGCAAATAATAGATTTATTTTTACTTCAAATTAATATTTTAAAAAGTTTACAGACTTTTATATCATTTCCAAAGTAGATGATTTCCCTACAACTTAAAGAATTTACTTGAAGTTTAGGAAATGGCCAACATCAGTTATTAGTCAATAAATGTTTATCAAATATGTATAGGAGATCAAAATCATAGACACATTGAGATTTGGGTCTTTTTATTGAATTTATCGGGGTGATACTGGTTAACAAAATTATACAGATATCAGGTGCACAATTCTACAACACATCATCTGTACACTGTACTGAGTGTTCACCAGCCCAAGTCAAGTCTCCATCCATCATCATTTATACCCCTATACCCTCCTCTATCACCCCAACCCCCCTGCAATCACTACACTGTTGTCTTTGTCCATGAGATTTTCTTTTTGCTCAATTCCCCCCACCCCATCCCCACCAGCCCCTGCCCCTGACAGCTGTCAGCCTGCTCTCTACCTATGAGTCTGTCATTATTTTGCTTTGTAGCTCAGTTTTATTTTTCATTAAATTCCACACATGAGTGAAATAATGTGGTACTGTTCTTTCTCTGACTGACTTATTTCACTTAGCATAATGTTCTCCAGGTCCATCCACGCTGTCGCAAGGGTGAGATTTCCTTATTTTGTATGGCTGAGTAGTATTCCTTTGTGTACATGTACCACAGCTTTTCTATTCACTCATCTATTGATGGACACTTGGGCTGCTTCCAAATCTCGGTTATTTTAAATAATGGTGCAATGAACATTGGGTCTTTTGTGTTATTTAAAGTAATACACTTCAAAAAAAATTATCAAGTGACATGTTTAATAACCTGGGGCAAATAATTCACTATTGACTTTTGAAATAAAGACTTTCATCCCCAATTATACCAGTAAAGGTCACTGTTCAACAGTGTTCTAACTTCTTCACTGTATTTCTGATCTCAATATAAGAGAATAACTCCACCACTGGGTAACACAGAAATGTTGCTCTTTAAGTGTGACCTCTGACAAATGACCTTGGCCTTTCCATGGCATCTTCTTGTTCCTGATTAGTCTAATGCATATAATTTTTAAGTTCCTTCATTTTACCCTTTAGCTTCTTTTCAAAAGTAATAGGGACACAGGAGTCTAGAGTCAACTTCAAGGATCCCAATGCCATGCTTTGAAATTTGCAACTTTTTCTCAATAACTAACGACATTCAAGTCATCAGCTCATCTAGTATGTATTGCTTGCTGTGAACAATAACGTCTCATCTTCCATTAGAGAGACTATCAGCGTTGGCTTTCAGACACTTTCATAATTTATTTTATGTTAGTGGTTGATGATTTATGGGCTTGGGGGACAAGCCATTCTTTTCTAGTAAGGACAGAGACATAACCACAGGATGATTCATGGAAGTCACTTCTGTAGACTTGATTGTACCAGCTGTCACCAAAACACCAGCAAAGAACCTCAAGAAAGGCCTGTGAAGAGACTGTCCCCAATAAATGGGACATCTGAGACAGAAAGCAATTCCCAGGTTATAAGAAGAGCTTTTTCATGCCCCAGTGGTATTTCCTGAAGATTTAGGCAAATTGAAGTTATTGCTATGGGATTTCTAAGCCCAACCTAGTCTGCTGGTGAAGATCTGGGTGATCTTTGTGTGGTGAACACTATACCATTGATTCATGCAGACTGCAGTGAGTCCACCAATGTTCTGTGTATAATGTGATGGCTCATTTACCTCTCTTCACTGCCTCATGGATGGGGGAAGCCAGGTGCACCTCGAGCTGGGCCTTGGCTCCGAACTCCAGCAACACGTTGACACATGCAGCACTGCCACTGCAGCAAGCACTGAAGAGGGGTGTGGCTCCATGAACCGTCACTCCATTGACCTAATGATGGGCAAAGAGAGACCCAGAGGATTTGCTATTTCTTTATCACCATCTCTAAGTTGCATTCCTATATATCTGCCTGGAGAAATTTCCCATGCTGGTGAAGAGTGAGGGAACTCTATATCATTATAGTATTATGTCATTTAGGCACCAGTAGCCTATCAACTCTCACCTCTATAAATAATACCCCAAATGGGGCAAAATGGAACAAAGCCCTATTTTGTTCCAAAATGGAACAAAGCTATTAAAATGCATTTGTGGGAAGATGGTGGCTGGCAGGACCAGAGGGAGGGTGAGTGCGTGAGAGACTGATCTAGTGTGTGAGAGTGTGAGTGGACATGAAGGTGGACGATCAAACTTTTGCAGTACAGAGATGCGGAGCAGAAGGTTCCTGTGCGGTGGATAGGAGTAGCCGGCTACCTCAGTAAGTGGCTCTTCAGGGAACTTCTCCCTGCGCTGCGGGGAGGTCCCCCCATTTTGGAAGATCCCTGGTCTTCCCTGGGACGAGGCAGGGGGAGCAGCTGGGGTCGGCAACCTGAGCCCACTAGCACACCTGGCACCATCGGACCAGTGGACACTCTGTGTCAACACATACCAGTGCACAGTAGTGAAGTTCTTAAGGTGCCGGTCGTGGAGACTGCAGACACCCGGGAGCCCAGCACCATCCCCCATAGTAGCAGCCTGATCAGAGTCGAGATATACCCCCAGCAAGAGGGGCTGGGGAGCAGACATGCATCCCCAGGCAACAGAAGCACAGACCAGCAGCTGAGACCCATCCCCAAAAACTACAGCAAAAGCTGAGCAGGAGTTGAGCCCCACGAGGCAGCAGCACTCCCCAGCCACCAGCGGCAGGACCTGGGGCTCCACAGAGGCCTATACGGTCCAGCAGCTCACCAGAGCTGTGGGAAGCCAGAGCCCAAGAGGAGCTGGTGCGATCCAGCTGCCTGTCCACGGGACCTGCAAGATGTGGGGGCAACAGAGAGGCCTGTGCGACCCAGCTGCGCACAAGATACGCATAGAGAATGTGAAAATGGAGGTGGAGTGAATGGAAGCTACACAGATGATCTCCCAGGATCAAATGGGAATTACAACTAAAATAAAAATAAATCCTTGGAAAAAAGCAACAGAAAAGCAACAGGACAGGACCATACAACCAGGGACACTGGTAGGATCTGCGAAGGTACAAGAGGGTGGCGGGCTGGGAGCCCAGGGACAGCAGCAGTCTTAGCTGTGAGCAGCACCCTTGGAGAATAAAGACCAAGTCCGCTCCACAGCTCAGAGAGCCAGGACAGAGCACTAAAATAGCCACAGCCACTCACCTGAGGGCTACGGCAGAGGGAGGGCAGACTGGGCTGGAACTCTGTGGGGACACCCGGGATTTGGAGGGCACTCAGAGGCTTTGCTGAGTTGCGGCCACAAAGGACAGTGGCCAGTGTGCCCCTTCCCAAAGCTGTGGAAAAAAGCAGCATCCCTCCACCCCAAGGAGATTCAGCCTTTCCCAGGTGAGGCAAAGAAATGAAAATTGAGGCTCATTAACAACCAGCATCTCTCCCACCCTCTGGAAATCCCCTTATGCAGAACACTAGGGCTACATTCCAAGGCCCTGAGTAACTGAGACTACTAGCCTCCAGGAAAAAGCTAGAGGTTAATTAAACCTTTCCTGGGATTGCAAATCTACCCAGGAAAGTAAGAGTTGACAGTGGTGTTTAACGTGGGCCCATCCAGGCTCATCCAAACACAGTAGAGAGAGCCACAAACAGCAGAACACCAACACCCACAGGGAAAATTTGGCAGGCTCCAAAACCCACTGAGATAGCCAAAATGGAGAAACAAAGAAACAAATCCCAAATGAAGGAACAAGAAAACTTTATCAAAGATGAGATAAATGAAATGTAGTTAAGCAAATTATCAGAGGTAGAGTTCAGAGCCATGATATTGTGGAAGTTCAACAGCATGAGTAAGGACAGCAGCACCATGAGTAAAGATGTAGAAACATTGAAAACCAACCAAGTGGAAATGAAGAATGACAGAGGAGAAATAAAGAACACATTTGAAGGACTAACCAGCAGAGTAGAGGAAGCGGAGAATGGGATCAGTGAATTAGAGGACAGGGAAGAAAAACCAACCAATCAGAAAACCAAAAGGACAAAACAATTAAAAAATAGGAAGATAGCATAAGGAACTGTGGGGCAACTGGAAACGTAACCACATTTGCATAATAGGAGTCCCCGAAGAGGAATAAAATGGGGAAGGGTTAGAGAATATATTTGAAGAAATAGTGACAGAAAATTTTCCTAACTTGGTGAAGGAAGAACGCATTCAAGTTCAAGAAGCACAGAGAGTCCCAAGTAAGAACCCAAACAGGCCCACACCAAGACACATAGTAATTAAAATGCCAAAAATTAGAGACAAAGAGAGAATCCAAAAGGCAGCAAGAGATAAGCAACAGGTTACCTACAAAGGAAACCCCATAAGGCTCTCAGCTGACTTCTCAACAGAAACACTACAGGCCAGAAGGGAATAGCATGAAGTAATCAACGTCATGAAAAACAAGGATATGAATCCAAGACTACTCTATCCAGCAAGGCTATCATTCAAAATAGAAGGTCAAATAAAGAGCTTCCCAGACAGAAATAGGCTAAGGGAATATAGTAACACCAAACCAGCACTGCAAGATACGCTAAAAGGACTGCTGTAATTAGTAGAAGAAATAGGAAGAAAAATATAACCACACTAAATAAAAATGGCAATAAATAAGTACATATCCATTAGCACCTTCAATGTGAATGATTTGACTGCTCCGATAAAAAGACACAGAGTAGCTGATTGGATAAGAAAGCATGACTCATCTATATGTTGTTTAAAAGACACCCACCTCACAACAAAAGACTCACACAGGTTGAAAGTGAAGGGATGGAAAAAAGTCTTTCAAGCAAATGGAAAGGAAAGAAAAGCTGGGGTATCAATACTCATATCTGATAAAGTAGATTTCAAAATGAAGACCATAACTAGAGACAAAGAAAGCCACTACATAATATTGAAAGGATCTATCCAACAGGAAGATATAACCTTGGTAAACATATATGCACCCAATATAGGAGCACCAACATATATTAAAAATCTTCTGGGCTTCAAAGGAGAAATTGACAACAATACAATCATAGCCGGGGACTTCAACACACCGCCAATATCACTGGATAGATCATCTAGACAAAAAACTAACAAGGAAACACAGACTCTAAATGAAGCGCTAGATCAAATGGATTTCATAGATATCTACAGAGAACTACATCCCAACACGGCAGAATTCACATTCTTCTCAAATGCACATGGGACATTCTCAAAGATAGACCACATGTTAGGGCACAAGTCTCTACAAGTTCAAGAAGATTGAAATTATATCAAGCATCTTCTCAGATCACAATGGCATGGAACTAGAAATCAATTGCAACAAGAACATGCAAAGACATTGGAACACATGGAGGCTAAATAGCACATTATTGAACAATGAATGGGGTACCATGGAGATCAAGGAAGAAATTAAACACTTCCTGGAAACCAATGAAAATGAACACACAACAACACAAAATCTATGGGATGCAGCGAAAGCAGTTCTGAAAGGGAAGTTCATAGCACTACAGGCCTACCTCAAGAAAGAAGAAAAATTTCTAATAGAGTATCAAACCTTGCAAATTAAAGAACTAGAGAGTAAACAAAAAGAAAACCCCAGAGCAAGTAGAAGGAAGGAAATAGTAAAGATCAGAGCAGAAATAAATGACATGGAGACCAAAAAAACAAAAACAAAACAATTCAAAGCATCAATTAAACAAAGACCTGGTTCTTTGAAAAGATAAACAAGATTGATGTACCCTTAGCTAGACTCACCAAGAAACAGAGAGAGAACCCAATTACACAAAATCAGAAATGAAAGAGGAGAAATAATAACTGACACCACAGAAATCCAAGGGATTGTTAACAAATATTATGAACAATTATACGGCAACAAATTTGACAATCTAAGAGAAATGGACAAATTTCTAGAAACACATAGTCTCCCAAAACTGGACCAGGAAGAGATAGAAAACTGGAACAGACCAATAACAACAGAAGAAATTGAAGATGTAATCAAGACTCTCCCAGCAAACAAAAGCCCATGCCTAGACAGCTTCACAGTGGAATTTTACCAAACATTCCAAGAAGAACTAATATCCATTCTCCTCAAAATATTTCAAAAAATTCAAGAAGAAGGAAGGCTTCTAAACTCATTTTATAAGGTCAGCATAATTCTAATTCCAAAACCAGAAAAAGACACTACAAAAAAAGAAAACTACAGGCCAATATCCATGATGAACATAGATGCCAAAATACTAGCAAAACGAATCCAACAATACATCAAAAAAATTATTCACCATGACCAAGTGGGATTCATCCCAGGGATGCAAGGCTGGTACAATATTCGCAAATCAATAAATGTGATACACCACATAAACACAATGAAAGATAAAAATCATATGATCATATCAATAGACGCTGAAAAGGAATTCAACAGAATCCAGCACCCATTTCTGATAAAAACGCTCAGCAATCTGGGAATAGAGGGACCATATCTAGACATAATAAAGGCCATATATGAAAGACCTACAACCAACATCATACTCAATGGGCAAAAATTAAAAGCATTTCCCTTAAGAACAGGACCAAGACAAGGATGCCCACTTTTGCCACTCTTATTTAACATAGTACTGAAAGTCTTAGCCACAGCAATCAGACAGGAAGAAAAAATAAAAGGGATCCAAATTGGAAAGGAGGAAGTGAAACTGTCATTATTCGCAGATGACATGATACTATATGTAGAAAACCCCAAAGACTCAATCAAAAATTTACTAGACTTAATAAATGAATTTGGCAAAGTAGCAGGATACAAAATTAACGTCAAGAAATTGATGGAATTCTTATACACCAATGATGAACTCACAGAAAGAGAAACTAAAAAAAAATCT